AAAATGTTCAATGTTTCGGGCCACTACAGAAATAGAAATTCAAACAACACTAGGATTTTATCTTACACTAGAAAGAATGGCAATCATCAAGAAATCAAAAACATATGATGGTGAGGCTGTGCTGCATCAGGAACTCTTCTATATGGTGGGCAGAAATATAAAGTAGTACAATGACTATGGTAATCAGTATGGAGAGTCCTTAAAAAGGTAAAACAGAAATTCCATTCACCTCAGCTTTTCCCTTTCTAGGTATCTTTCCAAAAGAGTCAACATTATCATAATACAATAATACATACATACTCATGTTTATGGCAACACAATTCATAATAGCTGTATTTTGGGAAAGGCCAGTATGGCCATGAGCAGATAAGTAGATAAAGAAAATGTGTTATCTATAATAGGATACTAAAAGAATAAAAATTTTAAAAATACAATACTAAAAAGGAAAACTTCAAGACATTTGTAGGAAAATGGATACATCTGAAAAATATAATGTTAAGTGAAATAAATCAGACATACAAGCTTAAATGTTATGTAGTATCTCATTTGAACAAGACAAAGTATAAATAATACAGCTTATCCTGTATTATACTGTATAATACAGGCTGGGGATTATACTGTATACAGGCTATTATACTGTATAATAGACGCTGGGGACTTAGCTCAGCGGCACAGTGCCTGCCTGGCAAGCACAAGGTTGTGAGTTTGATTCCCAGTACCAGAAAAAAAACCTAAATAAATAAATAAATAAATGTATGAATGAATGAATGAATGAATGAATAAATAAATAAATAAATAGTTTAAGAAGGAAACTGGAGATCAGATCTGAAAATGGGAAGGGGTCCAAGAGACCAAAAGTAAGGGGAGGGAGTAAAGAAAAAGGGGAAATTAAAGATTTGTAATTTGTCATGTACAGGTACCAAATACCCACAATGAATGCAAACATTATGTCTTGTAAACATGAACTAAAACTAACAATAATAATAACGAAAATGGGGAAAGGTGAGAGATGGAGGAAGATGGATGGGGAGGGAGAGTTAAAAAGAATCAGGGCCAGGTGTGGTGGCAGACACCTCTACTCTCGGCACTTGGGAGGCTGAAGTAGGAGTACTGCCATGAGTTTGAAGCCAGCCTGCGCTCCATAGTGAGTTCAAGGCAAGCCTGGACTACACAGCAAGACCCTGTTTCAAAAAAACAAAGACAAAAGAAAAAGAAGAAAAATAAAGAATCAAGGTGTTATGTACATGTACCTATGCCCTAAAATGAATGCAAACTTCTTGTATTGTAAACATGTACCAGTAAAATTTAAAAAAAGAAAGAAAAGGATCTCTGTGCAGTAGACATGCTGGTACATGCCTTACCAGCAGGATGGAAGGCTAAGGCAGGAGGACTGCCACAGCCCAGGTGCTGGAAGCCAGCCTGAGCAACAGAGAGACTCCGTTTCAAAAACAAATCACTTCAGCTACTGTATTAAGAACAGAGAAACAAGGAATAGTAAGAATAGGGAGGTAGCAAGGGAAGTGGTAAGAATAGGTCAAATTCTAACATATTTTAAGGCAGATTCAATCGGTTTCCTGATAGACATTAGATACAGGTTTCGGAGAGAGGAACTAGCAATAACTCTACCACTTGGATCGAACACTTACAAATAATTACAATTACAAATGCGATTAGCGCCTATCTGGGAAGGAAAAGCATTATGTACAAACACAGTACATGACATCTATCAAATGTCAGATAATCAATTAGGCAACTAGATATTATGTCTGGAGTTTAGGAAAAAGTGGGTTGATACCATGAATTGTAATATATTTCTTAGTATCCAAATATGTAAAGGTTTTCTTGTTAACTCTCTATTGATTTCTAGCATAACTGCATCATAGCCTAAAACATACTCTACAGCAGGGCTGGTAAACCGTTTCTGCAAAGACAGACAATAACTATTTTAGGTTTTACAGGCCACATATGACCTCTGTGGAATATTCTTCTTTCCCGTCCATTACAGTCCTTTAAAATGTAAAAACTATTCTCTACTTGTAATCATACAAAAATAAGCATGGGCTCTGGGGTAGACCTAGAGCTGCCCTATCCAATATGGAAGCCACCACAGCACATGTGGAACATCTCCATCACTGAAGGAAGATCTCACACATAGCATATGATATGGCATGATTCAATCTCCTGAATTTTTCTGAGTCTTGTCCTGTCTTAGCTCATATTATGATTCAAATGTTTTAAATATAAAATTTTAAAAGCTTAACAAAAAAGATAAGGAGTGGCTGGAAAACAACATCTAGTGCCAAGGGATAACAAATTCAAGGAAAAATTGTCCCTGTCCCATCCTTGTAAAATGAAAATTGTATTTTGCTTTAAAGATATGAGAGCAGTGATGCATATGCTTCAGATCTGCTTTGGTTTAAGTCCCAATGTTGAGTGCTTCTATTAATACTTAATATTTACTGAGCAAGTACTAAGTGCCAAACATTGTTCTAATTTGTAATTCACTAACTGAATCCTCATAGCATCATATGAAGTAGACACTATCTTTTATACATCAAGGGAATGAAGCACATAAGGATAAGTAAACTTGCCCACAGCCATAGCACTGATGAGTGGCAGAGGCAAAACTCAAGCTTAGTTCAAAGATCTATACTCTTTATTTTTCAGAACTGGGGACTGAAGTGTGTGCTGTGTGCTGGACTATATCCCAAAATGCCCCACACCCTACCCCACCTTTTTGTTTTGAGACACAGTGTTGCTAAGACACTAAATTACCCAGGCTGGGCTCAAACTGTTTCATTTACTTTTTTTGTTACATTTTAGTTTTTATTTTTCTCAGTACATATTTGCAGTACATAATGATTACACTAATCGAGGAGAGCTGGTATGTGCACGTAACACATTTTAATTCTTTTTATGTTTCCTTCTTCCTCCCTCCCTCCTCCATATCGTCATTTCTTGGGCCCCTTATGGGATCAAATTGTGGTCCCCCTGCCTTAGTCTCCCAGAGTGCTGAGATTACAGGTGCGAACCGCCACACCCGGGAAACTCAGTAGCACTTCTTTTGTTTCAAGGAAACAGAAGAGACTATCACTAGATCTACCTGGTCTTTGCAATGGCATTCTCTGATGCTCTGCAAAAAAGGCCTCTTCTACTTCTACCAATTTTATGGTGATTTCTATGTAGAGGACATCTGCTTTTTGTGAGTCCTGCGGTAATTTCCTATAGCTCTTAGCCTGTCTTATCCTTACTTTGAAATGCTTTCTTTTGCAATCTGTCCCATGATGTTAGATGGGGCTGACCCCATGATGCTCCCTGTAGGACATCCGAACCTGGGTAATTCGGTGACTCCATTACCCCAGGTGACACTGACTGGCTTAAAAATGACCACACAGCCCAATACCTGGCTAATCTTCCCTATTTAAACTCTGGCAACTCCTCCTGGGAAATTACAAACTTCAATTATAAACTTCTCTTGTTTCTCAAGCCTTTGTTCAGGTCGCAGGCTGACCATCTAAAAGATAGTCACTTTTCAAGATTAACGTCAGCATGGCCTCTATGAGCCATGTGCAAATTACTCAGGCCCATTCTTACTTCCTTTTATTCTTATATTCTAGCAAACAGTCTCTGTAAAAAGAAGAAAAAAACAAACCACGTTCTACAGAGCTCTTTGTGTTAGTTAATCCAGAAGTACAGAATCATTACTCTTAGACACCTCCATCCTATCTCATCTCGGTGCACTGTTACACTGCAGATTTCATATCCCTTATCTAAAATGTTTGGGATAAGAAATGTTTCTGACTTTTGTTATATTTTGTCTGATTTTGGAGTATTTGTACAGACTTTTCCAGTTGAGCACCCCAAGTCTAAAATCTGAAATGTGCTAAAATCTAAGTTTTTGAGCATCATCTCAGCACTCAAATATTTCAGATTTTGGAGCATTGTGGAATTCAGATTTATAGATCAAGGAAATTTAGTTCATATCCTAGATTCTCCAAAAGGTTTTTATCACTACCTCCCAACCAGAGGGCTTTGCATTCATAGAAACATACAGTATTTCATCAGTTCTTTTTAATAACAAATACTTTCCATCTCCTGCCAAAATTAAATTGTTATCTCTTTTAAGGGCAAAGTTTGCATCTTATTTATGTGTCACTTTATCTTGCCCTCCTATATATATTTGCACTGCTACACAATATTTATTGAATGAATACATTATAAAGAGAACAAATCTTATGAAACCTAACCTAGAATGGGGTTAAGTGCTATGAGCAATAAAAATACTATCACAAATTATGGTCCTCTCCCAGAAATGCAACTGTCTGTTCCCAAACAGACCATGCATTCAGTCAGATTAGATATACTGCATACATTTATGGTTACAGTAGTATTTAACTCCAAGTTAGGTATCCAATAAAAATATACTGACTTGCCAGGCATGACAGTTTAAGCCTTTAACCCCAACATCCTGGGAGGATCATAAATTGGAGCCCTACCTGGGTAATGTCTCAAAAATAAAAAAAGGGCTGGAAGGGCTGGGCATGATGGCACACACCCATAATCCTAGCACTTGGGAGGACGAGGCAGGAGGATTGCTGTGAATTCGAGACCAGCTTTGGGCCACATAGTGAATTCAAGGCCAACTGGAACTACATAACAAGATCTTGTCTAAAAGAAACACAGGCAGGCTAGTTGGGTATAGAGCTCAGTGTCAAAGCCCTGAGTTCAATCACCAGAACCAAAAAAATGCACTACCTGCACTAAGGTGTTAAGTTTTCTTGACTGACAACATTAATTACAGTGATAGATGCCTTTTAAAAATAAATTCTGTTTTACTCAAAATAATTTAGTATCTTTTTTCAATTAAACAGTGACTCTTACACACTAAAACATACAAATACATATAAATTTTAATTCATTTAAATCTTTTTAAAAAGACACACATCTTTTCCAAAATGTTTTCAATACTGACTTGAAAAAACACTTGATGAAAAACTAACCTCTGGTCCTGAATGTATAGTCAGGTAACTTTCCACAGCAGTCAAAGTACCTAAAATAGAGCAGTAAAAATAAAACTGATATTATTCAATCAGGACAAGCAACAAACTATGCTTCTTCACTTAGGGACCACTTTACTAAGATTGATAGAGTTAAAAACCTGTATAGTAACAGTTTTATTATGTTATTATACAGACTTAAGAAGCAGTAAAGGCCAGGTAAACTGTTGGTAAGGCTAAGTAAGCTGTTAGAAGAGTCTGCCATAAACTGTAACTGTTGGAATTGACAAAATCTTTTCTATTACTTAAATTGACAATATCAAGAATCCTCCCCAATAAGGCAACAATTTAACTAATTTATTCTGGCAGGGCCATCACATAATTATCAAAATCAGATCCAAGAGAATTATTCTGGTTTCAAAATTCAAGCTTTCAAGGGCTTATTAGTAGTGGCTCATAATAAATGTTTAGAACAACACTTTTTTTACTAAAACACCTTTCGATGACTTACAAAATACTTAAATCAAGGCTGTTAAAATAAAAACGTAAGTATAAAATTGAAACCTGAAAACCAAAGCCCTCAGAAGGGGACAAATCAAGTATAGTAACCATGAACACTAATATATACGCATAATGGCTAGATACTTAATAGATGAGTTTCTCAAGAATGTAAGGCAAAAGAAAAATAAAATGGACTGGCTGACCTTCAAAATGTGACAAAAAAATATACATTACTTAGGAAATACGGTTCATGGTTTTAATTTCAGAAAAAATTAAAACACTGGGCCTCACAAAGTAGACAATGAGCAAGACAACAAACAAATGTGTCATCAACAGACGTTACAGCACAACTACAGCCACGTACACAGCCACAGCCGCGTGGCTAGTCTGACCAATGACACAGAAACTATAAAACATGAGCTGTTTCTGAGTGATGCTGACAGAATGTGGCCCATGTATGTGAATCTGTGCTCTAATCCTATCCACAAAGAGAACATGGACCACCCAAGACAGTGTACAGTAATAAAATGTGGACCACCTCTATTAAAAATCAGCTGGAGAACTTGTTAAAATTTTGACTTCAAGGTGTCAGTATCTGGAAAAATATTTTTAAACAACCTTAAAGTAGTATTTCTCACAAATAAAACCTATTCAAAATAAAAACTATTAAATATTTAGGAATAATCTCAATTAAAAATATATAGGATTACCATGAACAAAACTTATAAACTTCAGACATAAAGATTTTTTTCCAGTGCTAGGGATTAACCCAGGGCCTTGTACATGTCAGGCAAGTGCTCTACCAGTAAGCTGTATACCCACCCTCAAATCTCTTAATGCTATGTGTAAATTGTACTTTAAAATTTGTTAATTTTAAAGAAAGCAAGTTGGAATTTGTAATGGCTATCAAAATCTTTTCCCAGAAATTTGAGAGTTCTAACTGTAACGAAGTTAAGACAATGGACAATTTCTCATTTTAGAGCACATATATTAGTATCTATATCTCAACAGGTCAACAGCATTTTATTAAAGATGGAGCTACATAAAAACAAAGTAGGGTATTGTTTCAATATTTCCCATTTATAGCTGTTTCTTTTTTTCTAACAAGATTTTAGCTCATCACAATTAGAAACATGAAGCTCTTCTATTTTCAAATTTGAGTACTGCTTATTGATCAATAATTACCATTCATTTTATTTCTGGTATATATCACTCCCAGATCAGCTGGAATGCTGTCAAAGCCGCTGCTTCCAATGATGTAGACCCCCTTTGCAGCAGCTTTCTCATGATACTTCCAATACATTAGTTCCAGAAACTAAAAAAATACAGAAGAATTTGAATCAGCGTTTATAGAAACACCTAGACCAATACTAAATGATTTATATTTAAAGACAAAACGAACTAAAAATGCTCTGCAGCAAAATATTAACTGTGAATTTTTGTTTCATTATTCAGCAAATAATGACTGTATGCCAGTGTGTATGCCACTAAGTATAGTGGCCCTATTTTTGTATGACTTTTAAATGTAAAATTAATATTAAAAAATTAAATATAGGAAAAACAAAGAAAGCACAAAAAAAGAACCACTTTGAACTACATAACCCAGATGAACATCATTACATGTATCTCTACATAGAGTGGTAGGAAAGATGATACAAGAGATTCTGAGCCTTTAGGGCTTTGGGGGCTGTATTTATGTATGTTTTGTTTTGCTTTAGGGTGCTGGAAGACTGGACCCAGAGCTTCATGCATACCCAGCAAGCACTCCATCACTGAACTACACTCCTAGCCCTATTAGGTTCTGATACTACTTTTACGGTAGTTGGTGAGATAACTTAGAAATTTTTCATCATTTTTATGCTCTGGGTTATTTTAAATAATAGAAAGTTTTTCTTTAATTCATGTTTCCTACCTCTTGAGTCAATTTTGGTAATTTACACTTGTCTTAGTACTTTCACATACATATTACCAACTGATAACCTCTACGTACAGATTATACTGGCACATTACTGACAATAATCAGTACAGACTATAGAGACACGTGACACTATCATGTGAAAGGTGGTAGTGCCACACAACTTCCTACAGGCAGGGAAACCTCAGGTCCCCTTGTATTCACTAGGTAAGTGACTGAGCAAGTCATTTACCCGTGCTAAGCTTTAATTTCCTCATCTATGAAACAGAGAAGAAGACGGTAACTGCTTTATACCTATGTTTCCAAAAGTTACATAAAAGTTTTAGCACAGTGTTGGGCATATGGCAAAAATTGTATGAATGTGAACATTTAACTTTGTGGGGCAGGGGTGCTAGAGACTGAACCCTGGGCCTCACACATGCTAGGCACAAGCTCTATCACTGAGCTACACCCCAGCCCCTCACTTAAATTTTTTGAGCCATGTGTGGTGGTGCACACCTGTAAGCCCAGCACTCTGGACAGCTGAGGCAGGGGCAGGTTTGCCAAGTTTGGTCACAGGGACTTAGCAAGACCCTGTCTCAAACAATAAGAAGAACCAGGGATGTAGCTCAGTGAAAAGGTCCTGAATTCAATGTCCAGTACCACAAAATAAACAAATAGGATTGAGGGGATTTTACATTTATTATTTTATAATGTTGCAAATGTGCCTGTTTTGTTGTTGTTTGTTGGTTTTTTGGGACAGTACCTCACTATATAGTTCAGGTTAGCTTTGAACTCACTATGTAGCCCAGGCTGGCCTCAAACTTGTGGAAATACTCTTGCGTCAACCTCCCGAGTGCTGGGATTACAAGCATGTGCCACCATGCCTGGCTTTTTAAAAATCCTTTAATTCGTCCCCTTTTAAAAATTTTTATTGGTACATTTTAGATATACATAGTGATCACATTCATCATAGGGAATTTATCCCTATACATCATATATATTGCTTCCTTTTCCCCCATTCCCCTCCCCTCCCTTCAACTCTTCTTCCCCTGCTTATTTACAAAAGCTTTTTGCCTCATTTTTAAAGGGGAATTCATAATGAAAAAATTACAAAAAGGAGATTCTAGAAATTACATATAGGGTTTTTTGGGGGGACACAGGGGTGGCACTAGGGATGGAACCCAGGGCCATTCCACTCAGCTGCAGCCCCAGCCCTTTTTTTATTTTTTATTTTGAGATAGGGTTTCACTAAGTTGCCCAGGCTGGGCTTGAACTTGTGATCCTCCTGCCTCAGCCTGCCAGAGTGCTGGGATTACAGGCATGTGCCACCATGCCTGGCTAGCATAGTATTTTCATTAATTCAGTTCAAAGCACTCAGTAACTATAAAAATCAGTACATTTCATATACAAAGAGAATAACTGAGGTTATGATAAACAAAAAAATTGAAGAAAACCAAAGCTAACACATTACCATCAATACTATCAACAGAATACCATAGGAATACCACCTCTAAATACTAGGAATTAGCACCAATTTCAAAATGTGACTATAAAATTGCACTAAATATTCTCTATTTCATTAAACAGAAAATGTGTGGTCAATTCTGCTTTTGCCTTTCTATTTTACACACCTCAGGTTCCCCACAGATGTCAACACAGCTAGTTCCATTTTCAACACATGCTTTTACCACAGGTTCTCCATAAAATCGGTACTAGGGAAAGAAAACAAACAGGTTACTCCTGCATGGCAAGCTTAATTCAGCCAAATGCCATTTGCCCTGAAATATAATCTTTGTTATCATAAAATCAAATGTTAATAAAGAAGCATAAAGATAAACTGAAAAAATAAGATACCTGTCCTATACCAGCTGTTACAGTATAAATAAATAAAGGCATGATGAAATTACACAGGAATACATACTTACCTCTAACAGCACACAAAATGAAGTTTTATAGAAGTAGTAAATTGCTTTAGTTGAATTCTGGGGTTTTTTTGTAGTGGGGTTTTGTTTGTTTTATTTGTTTTTTTTTGTCTTTTTGAGACAGTGTCTCACTGTGCAATTCAGGCTGGGCTTGAGTTCACCTTGTAGCCCAGGCTGGTCTCGAACTCTCAACTATCCTCCTGCCTCAGCCTTCCGAGTGCTAGGATTATAGGTGCATGCCACCACACACAGCCTAGTTGAATTCTGACGAATAAGGATTTTCCAAGAAAAACAAAAATTCAAATAAAGGAAGAAGTACATGTAAAGCTGTAAGAAAGAGGATCTGTTCTTGCTACCTGACACACAAGGTGGTTGAGGAGAAAGTGCCAAGAGATGAGTCTGAAAAGAGAGACAGTACTAGGGCCTGTAATCACAGCCCTGAGGAGGCTGAGGCAGGAGGATTGCCATGAACTTCAGGCCAGCCTGAGCTAAACAGTGAGTTCAAGGCTAGCCTGAAGTACAGAGCAAGACCCTGTCTCAAAAAAAAAAAAAAAGTACTAGGGCCCAATCAGGAAAGACTATGCGTACCTACCAACAAGTCTGACTTTATCTTTACTAGATAACTCGCTTTGCGGCAGGATTTTACTTATTATTATTGTTGCTGCATACTTGCAGTATATAGCAATTATATTCATTATGGGGAGTTGGTTCATGTACATAAAACATCCTAATTCATTTTTTTTCCTGCAGAATTTTAAACAGGACAGTGGTGTAAGATTTATAGTACAGATACATTACTCCAACTGTGACACTGGAAAACAAATCAGGGGCAAGTGAGAAAGGCTGAGGGACCAAACTGAAGGGGCAGAATACACCAAGGATGAGACACACTAAAACAGTAAATGTGATTAGATTTCCTGATTAGCAGGGCTAGACATGGAGATCAAATGCACTATTTGCAAAATTTTTAAAAACAGGAAAAGGTCTGAAGTGGTAAGTTTAAAGCTGGCTAGCGTAGATATTCTGAGTTCTGTGATATCAGATTGTTCACCATTTGCTCAATCTCAAGGAATTAAAATAAGAATGTCACTGTACAATAGTTAACACATCAGGATTCAGGCCATTTTTAAAGGAGCATGACAAATCTTTCCCTCTGTGAAGGTGGGTAAGAGGAAACACTCCTCTGCGTCTTCTCACTCCTGGCAGCCAAAGATGGACACAGAAGATCGTTTTTTTCTACCAAGCCACTGAGATGCAAGTAATGAGACACTTAAAGATAGGACACTGACTCTTTACAAGTATGTAGGTCTTTACCTCTCTCTTATTAAGAATGGCAGACAAGGATGTGAGGGCGATCTGGCTGTGATACGTCACGCCACTGATCGCGGATGATTTGGCTCTGGCTGGCTAGGCGGGCGTCTCCTGCCTCCCTCACTGTTCCACCTACTCTCCTAGCTCCACAGACAACGTGTGTGTCCCTGACATCCAACCTCTAACTCCAGAGCTGCTCCCTCCTCCGAGCTCCTTATCTGTGCTTTCTGTTAGAAACATTAGGAGCTGCTAGAGTACAGGACATCCAGCATGACTCATACACAGAATTTACTTCATTTTGGCTACATTTTCACACCTTTTATTTTCTCTTCACCCTGATTTCCTCACTTACTTTAAAGGAAAAAGAAAAACTCTCTACTATATTGTGTTTCCTGTCTGTATCTATAGACACCACAGCTTCAACAAGTCCACAACTGAATCCATTATCTTTCTTACTAAACCGGTTTCTCCTCCACTTCCTAGCACGCATGTGGAGTGCAGTGGGGGGAAGGGAGGGAAGAAGACTGGAAGTGGGGGCTGAGGAAGGGGAGGAAGAGGGGAGTGGAGGGAGGAGGGGGAGGAAGGGGTAAGGAGAAGAGCACTACTGCCCGGGTCCCTCTCCTAACATCTTTTCTCATGTACTAAATGAGAAAAGACTCAGACAAAATGGTGCAAATGGCTGAATAGCACAATAGTCGGGAGCACAAGTTTAAAGTCAGACCAGATTTAAACCCCGGCTCTGCAGTCACTAACTGTGTGACCTTGGACAAGTCCCTTTCAATCCCCTCACTGAAAAAATGGAGATAATAATGCTTCGCTGGGCTGCTCTGATGATGAAGAGAACACAAAGAACAGCGCCGCGCCAGCACGCAACACGCAGGTATATTCTCTGCTAGTGTTGAAGGCATGCCTCTGGGAGCTCTTTTCCAACCTCCTGCTTCTGGAGTCACAAGTTTTATCAAGCCAGCCCACCAAAAGCATCCCCCAAATATCCCAAATCAGTCACTTCTCTACATATCCCAACCTTAGCCAGACTCTGTCACCTCACATCTAATTTCCTACTAAAAACTCTGAACTGGTTTCACTGCTTTTCGCATTCCTAGGACCAATTCAGTCCCATTTCCCAGGAAATAACAAATTATTATTTTAAAATAAAAATCTGATGCCATCTTTCCTTCTCTTCCATGCCTGTTACCACTCTTATCCCTCACTAGCTCTCCAGTGCCCACATTATGCAGTATAATTTTTTTTTTTTCAGTTTTTAGACAGGGCCTTGCTAATAAGAGACAGAGTCACTTGTTTCCCATCTCCCCGCCGTTCTAAACTCCCCATAATTCTCTAACATGCTGCTGCTCCACACCAGTGTTTGCTTCTATACATATGGAATGTCCTCCTTCCCCTCCACATCTGCCTAGGTAACTCCAAATTCCTCCTGGCTCAGCCAATGAGTTTATTTACAAGTACTGGCAAGGCGTAGTAAAGCATTACTGAACTTCATAATTAAACTCAGACTTTACACTGAGCTATATCCCCAGATCCCACCTCCCTTTTTTTAGGCAGGATCTTTCCAAATTGCCCAGGCTCTGATCCTCCTGCCTCAGCCTCCCGGAGTGCTGGAGTTACAGGCATAAGCCACCACACTCGACTGGAACTTTTATTCATGCCCATTTTTATAGAAGACACAAAGAAAAAATAAAGCTTTATCAATAATATGTAGATTGATGGCTGAGGCCCTGAGTTTTATTCCCAGTACCCCCCCCCAAAATAGTAAAAATAATATATAGATTAACTACAGTACATCTCCGAGGCCACGTCCATTGGTCAACTGTTGAATATAGACTATCTTAAGTATTCTGATGGGGGGATGGGAGAGTTCCAGGACATGGAGGGGACACGCTGACACACCCATTCGTCCAGTCACTTTCAGCATATTGTGACCTAACACTTGTTTACCCATGCCCAACAGATGGGCCTCAGCTCTGAGACCTCAGGCCTTTAGAGAGGAGAATAAAAAGATCCAACACAGGAGATAAATGAAGCTGGTAGACAGGAGGAAAACGAGGAGAAGGTGAGAATCAAAAAAAAACCAAGTAAAGAAAAGAGGGAATCATGGACTGGATCAAATGCTGAAAGGCTAGAGATGAGGACTGAACACTGCTGACTGGATTTGACAGGACGGGCCTTGGCAGGTTATTTCATTGAAACAGTGTTACGGCTTGTGTCTAGATGTCCCCTCAGAGCCTCATGCAGTCATGGGGGGTGAGCTTTTTAGAGGTGGCTGAATCTAGAGTGTATGATGCTGGGATTAAAGGTGTGAATGCTACACCCTAGGGCGGGTAGCCTGCACACAACATATGGGACAGAAAGAGTCTTGTCTCTCCCTTGTTGCCTTTGCTGTCTTCTGTAGCCATAAACTATTGCCCTCTGCCATATGCCATTCTGCCTTGGTGCCAGCTGATAGTGGACTGAAATTGCTAGAAACTGTGAGCTAAATAAACCTTTCCTCCTTTAACTTTGTGTGTTGGGCATTTTGTCTCAGCAATGAGAGAAAAGTAACTAATACAAACAGTGAGGATAAAAGCCTGACAAGAGCAGTTTAAGATGCAAGACCAGTCACCATAGTATGTGTTTTTCTCCGGCCACACAGTGATACTCATGTTCAAGTGAAGAGTTAGAGAGTTAGAAGAACTGGGGCTGGGTTTGTCTAGGGCACTGACTGGCACAGAGGGCAAAGGAGCACAGCTGACAGCGTATACACCAGAAGGGTTACAGCAACACATACAGTGGAGGGAGTCAAAGCTAGGTGAGATAAATCTAAATAAACACTTAAATTGCCTATTTATTTAATAATACAAAATATTTTTGTTTTCCATTTTTAAACTATTAATATTTTAGATGCTTAGTTTTCGAAAGTCTTGCCAATTTTGACGTCTCCTACAGATCACGAAATGTTACCATCATTCACCTTGTTGCAGTCCGTCTAAAAGTCCTCCTCAGTGCCTCTTCTTACATCCAGTACAAGAGCAAAAGCTATTCTCCTTTCAAAACACACTGAGTCCAACCACTTCTTCTACCCTATCCTAGTGCCTGCCTTGCTTGGACCATGCCACTGCTGGTCCTTATTATCCATCCTTCCTCTAAGAAGCCAAAGAAACTCAAAATTAAATCAGGTCACACCTTGTTTTCAAACACTCAATGGCTCTTGGTCATTCTCAGAGGAAAATCCGAGTCCTGACATTGGGCTGTAAGAGCTGGCTCCTGCCCATCTCTCCAGTCCACCTCCCCCCTCGCAGTCCTGCTCCCAGCTCGGTCGCACTGTCTCCTCTCATCCTGCAGTGTTGCCACGCACACTCTCAGCCCAGAACCTACGTATCTGCTTCCCCCGGAACAGTTTTCTCAAATAACCATGGTCGACCCTTTGCCTGCCTTCCTATCTCTGCTCAAATGTTGATTCCTCACTGAGAATTTCCCTGACCAGCTATCTAAAACAGACTGATGTGCCAATCTGTCTTTGCTCTGCTTCATTTTTCCTCAAAGAACTTAGCCTTATCTCTCACTGTAGTCTTATTCTTCTGTCTGCCCACAAGAATGTGAGCTTCACAAGGGATTCTCTGTTTTATCTACCCCGGTGTCCCAGCTGTTGGAATGCTGCAGTTTAGAGAGTAAGCAGTCTATATTTACTGAATGCTTTTTTAGTTTCTATCTTTTTATTTTAAGCATATATATTTCTAGAATAATACAAGAATACAATAATAACGAAAGGATGCATACTGAATTTTTTTTTTTTTCTTTCTTTCTTTTTTTTTTTTTACTGAAAGGGCATACAAGAAAAAGAAGGGAAAAGTTTGGACATCATAACTGTAACAGCTCAAATTCTCTGAGTGCAGTGGCACCGAGACCTTGTCTCAGGGGCCTTCGGTCACATCTAGCTGTTCCTCACCAGAAGAAAAGCTCCCCATATGGGGTTAAGACCTTCAACCAATTCTTCTGTCCTCTGCCCTTATGTTCCTCTGAGAGAAAGTACAAAATACCAGCTTTTGCTAAAAATCAATGGGCTGTTTGTTGTGCTACAAAGAAGGGTTGATTACTTACAGGTCCTACGCAGTTGAGGACAACTGTTGTCTGTTTAGCCATTTCATCAAGTGAGGCTGGATTAGTGATATCACAAATTATTATCCCAACTTCAGATGATAATGTTGGTCTTCCTAAAATAACAAACAAAGTATATAAAGCAAATCCTACTATAATATTAGAGATTCCACAACTACTTTTTATAGTAATCTGTGACCACAAACTTACTGAAAACTAATGCTCCCTCTCAAATAAAAAATTTTAACCAGATAATAAAAAAGGAAAAAGCTATGAGAAAAACGGAATCAATACTAAGGGGTACTAAAAAAAAAATCACTATGCTTTGAAAAAGATTCTAAAGCAAGCCATGTGTAAGTTACAGTTCTGTGTAATGTGACCATTTTAAAATGTTTCAAACAAGTTTAGATGCTAAGTAGATGACTGTCCTGACTTCTCTACCAACTTATATTATAAATTAAAAACAATTCTCATCAACTTCTGAACAATTATAATGCTCTAATTATAGAGGGTGGAAGACTGTCAACCTCAGTACCATGAGAACATAAAAGAACTCTGAGATGAGTCCACTTTTACATCGTCCAATCTAGATAACATCACCTATTATTTCATAATAAGAAAATAACTGGAATTAATTGGAACTAACAGCCCCAACAGAGGAATGCAGGTTTCCACCGGACGAGGTATATTCCCAATAACTTGACTTGGGCATTAGAAACGTTAGATACCTAGGCTGGACCTGTGTGGTCTTGCTGATCAGGAAAAAGAAATGGAATACTGTATTTTAATTGTGAAATTATCTTTTAGAAAAATAAGGCCGAACAGCTCTTTGCTCAAAACTGTGTTGGTAGTGGCGCTGAACTGTAGGACAGTCTAGCCTACATGCAGTGTATACATCCATACATAAGCACGGGAAGATTTTATATTTCTACTAGACACAGGATACAGTTATAAGATTAAACATAAAGAATGCAGTATACCTGGAACTCTATCAGGTGCTACCTGCATGTGGGGAGTCCAGGGCAGAGAAAACGCATATTTCAAGGCTATGGAGTCCTAAATTAGTGTCTTCCCAGACCGCGAAGGCAGGGTCTGAGGTGTCTCCTTTCTCCACGTGCATATCCACAGCGCTTAGAGCGGCGTCCAGCATAGAAAGACCACTCACTAAGTATACACTCAGTGGGAGTTGCAAGAGTAAAAAAACATCAAAACCTGACTTTTTAAAAACTTCTTAAAACGAAGAATAACATTGCTGGAAGATTCTTACAATGAAAAACAAAACAACACAGGTTCTGTAGCAGAGCGTGTGCTTTGCACGCAGAGACCCTAGGTGCAATCCTCAGCATCAACACAAACAACCCTATCCGTAAAAGTCCTAATCATTCTTCCCGTCCTCAGAAAGAAGAAACCCAGTTCCCCTTTTCCCTGTCCAACCAGGTGTCAGGAAACCTCCAAGCCTCTGGGTAGCCGCGCTGGGAGATGGGACGAAGCAGACAAAGAACGACTCAGGTTCTTCACTTTCGGGCCAGCGGGGCTCCCTAAACTAAGGGCGACACTCCAGCGTGGCGGGGCAAAGACCTCTGCACGTCAGTCTCTAATTCAGCGGGAACGAAGCGCCCGTCTCCTCCCGCCCGGCTCCCGAGGGCAGCTGCGGGGAGAGGACCGCGCGCCCCGGCCGGCCGCCCTTTACCCAGCTTCAGCGCCGCCTGCTCCAGCACCCGCAGCAGCTTCTCCCGGGAGCGGCCGGCCACGGCCCAGGGCAGGCGGGAGCTCCGCTCGGGGGCCACCTGCTCCCGGGCCACCTCCTCCGTCACGAACTGGCCGGTGAAGCCAGAGGCGCCGAACACCACCAGCTGGAAAGACCTCCGCTCGGTCGCCATGACGAGTCCAAGGCCAGCGGACAGCCGGGGCGGGCTGAGTGCACCGCGCCTGCGCCTCGGGCCGCGACCCCGATACCGGGCGCAGCAACC